ATTTATACCATTTTTCCAATAATGCAGTAGTCTGCATAAAAGTAAATCTTCTATTTTTTTTTTTTTTTGTGAACAAAAATTCAAAATGGAAACAAGCGTAATATAAGAGGGGTCCGAAGTGGGAGGAGCCATAGGAGAGAGAGGGAGGGGCCAGCAGAAGTGGCTAGTATCTGTCTTGATAGCCGGATACTTGCAGTGGCGTGAATACAATGTTGAGTAATTATGCTAATATTAGTAATAAAGGTTATCTATCACATTTACTCCAACTTGATATCAGAAACACGATAGATAACCTGGAAGCACAATAAAGAGGCCGACATTAATAAAAGGCATATTATATGGAGACGTGAAGGCAGTGTTTACATCAGGACACACACGCTAACCAATTTTCTTTTTGGTTGACTGTTATCACTAATCTTTTAGGCCCCATGGTGACTTATACAAATATTTAAAAAACACCCAAAAATGCAAAGAAACACTAAATAATTTACAGTGAAGTTCAGAGGAGTTTTAGACTGAGCGACAGCTGCAGGGAGACTGACGTATATGTTTTGGCAGGTTAAGAACATAAGAACGAAGGAACACTGCAGAAGGCCTACTGGCCCATGCGAGGCAGGTCCAAGTCTCCTACCGGCTTAAGCCAATGCACCCAACCTAGTCAGGTCAGGTCACATTGACTTAAGGGAGGAACACGGCAACCGACCTGGTAGCACAAGCTATCAGGTCTAACTCACACCCACCCACATCCACTCATGTATTTATCCAACCTATTTTTAAAGCTACACAACGTTCTGGCCTCTATAACGGTACTTGGGAGTTTGTTCCACTCATCCACAACTCTATTACCAAACCAGTACTTTCCTATATCCTTCCTGAATCTGAATTTTTCCAACTTAAAACCATTGCTGCGAGTCCTGTCTAGGCTAGATATTTTCAGCACACTATTTACATCCCCTTTATTTATTCCTGTCTTCCATTTATACACCTCAATCATATCCCCCCTAATTCTACGTCTTTCTAGAGAGTGCAGATTCAGGGCCCTTAGTCTATCCTCATAGGGAAGGTTTCTGATACATGGGATCAACTTTGTCATCCTCCTTTGTACATTTTCCAGAGAATTTATATCCATTCTGTAATAAGGTGACCAAACTGTGCAGCATAATCTAAATGAGGCCTAACCAAGGATGTATAGAGTTGAAGAACAACCTGAGGACTCCTATTATTTATGCTTCTTGATATGAAGCCAAGGATTCTATTAGCTTTATTGCGAACACTTATGCACTGTTGTCTTGGTTTCAGATTACTGCTAACCAGAACTCCTAAATCTTTTTCGCAATCCGTAATATTAAGATCTACATTATTTAGTTTATATGTGGCATGGTTATTGTCCTGTCCAACATTTAGAACTTTGCATTTGTCTATATTAAACTGCATCTGCCACTTCTCCGACCACTGCATCAGTCTATTCAAATCTTCCTGGAGTGCTCGAATGTCTCGTCAGAATGAATTCGACGGCCTATTTTGGTGTCATCGGCAAACTTGCCGATGTCGCTCTTTATGCCCTCATCTATGTCGTTTATGTAGATTGTGAACAGCAGGGGGCCCCAACACTGACCCCTGTGGAACACCGCTCGTGACACTTCCCCACTCTGATTTCTCCCCATTTATGCAAACTCTCTGCTGCCTATTTGTCACCATGCCTCTATCCAGGAAAAAATTTCTCCTCCTATTCCATGTGCTTTAATTTTCCTCAATAGTCTCTGATGTGGGACCCTGTCAAAAGCCTTACTGAAGTCCATATACACAATATCAATCATTACCATGATCTACCTCCTCAAATACCTTAGTGAAAAAATTAATAAATTCGTAAGGCAGGAACGCCCTTTGTAAAACCATGCTGAGATTCGTTGATTAATTTATGCTTTTCAAGGTGGCTACGAACTGCCTCGGCAATTATTGATTCCATAAATTTTCCCACTATGGAGGTTAGGCTTATTGGTCTATAGTTCGAAGCTAAGGACCTGTCACCTGTTTTGAAAAATAGGTATCACATTTGCCATTTTCCACTTATCTGGCACCATGCCAGTTTGTAGTGATATGTTGAAAAGATTAGCCAAAGGGTTTGTGCTAAGCTCCTCTTTACATTCCTTTAGAACCCTTGCATACAGTTCATCAGGGCCTGGGGATTTGTTAGGTTTTAATTTATCTATTTGCCTAAGGACCATGTCACTTGTGACCCTAATATTTACACAGTTTATTATCGTCCTGTTCTACATAATTTATCATTACTGGAATATCGCTGGTATCCTCCTGTGTAAAAAACTGAGAGGAAGTATGTGTTAAAAATTCAAACACATTTCCTTATCACTGTCAGTGAGCTGACCGAGGAACTTTTGAGTGGGCCTATCTTGTCCCTGATCTTACTTCTGTATACCTGAAAGAATCCTTTTGGGTTAGTCTTCGATTCTCTTGCAACTTTAACCTCATAATCTCTTTTTGCTTTTCTAATTCCCTTTTTTATTTCTCTCTTTAACTGAATATATCGATTTCTCAATTGCCCCTCTCTCTTTTGATTTGCCTATATATGCCTCTCTTTTGACCATCAGATATTTTAATCTATTGTTCATCCATTTAGTATCATTTTTGTTTGATCTGATTTCCCTATCTGGAACATAATTTGACTGAGCAGCTAGAACTATGCCCTGGAAAGCATCATATCGGCAACCATCACCACCTACCTGACCCTTAGTCAGGTCATTCCAGTTCACCCACCTAAGTAATTTTTCAGTCCTATGAAATCAGCCAAGCGAAAGTCGGGGACGGAGACTTGATTGCCATTATTAGGGGAATTCCATGATATATTAAAACTGAGTGATTTGTGATCACTTTCCCCAAGCTCATCATTAACCTCAAGATTATTAATTAGTGTTTCCCTACTGGCAAGAACCAAGTCAAGGAGGTTATTTCCCCTAGTTGGCTCTGTCACAAACTGTTTTAAAAAACAATCCTGGATCGTATCAAGAAAGTCACCTGACTCTAAATTTCCTGTCAAATTGCTCCAGTCAATCTGTCTATAGTTGAAATCTCCCATTAGCACAACATTTTCGTATGTAGATGCCTTACGAATTTCGTCCCATAGAAGTTTACTGCACTCCCTATCAAGATTTGGGGCCCTGTAAATCACACCCAAAATTAGTTTTTCTCGGCCCTCGAGAAGCTGTAACCAAACAGATTCAGTGGCTGACGCTTCTAATTTAATATCTTGTCTAACACAACAATTTAAATTGTCTCTGACATACATCGCTACTCCACCACCTTTCCTGTTGACCCTGTCAGTGTGGGAAAAATTTATAGCCTTGTATGTGACATTCAGAGGGCATCTCTCTATCTTTCAGATTGAGCCAGGTCTCTGTTATAGCAATAATATCTATGTCTCCTGCACTTGCAATTAATCTTAGCTCATCTATCTTATTTCTTACACTCCTGCTATAGTATAGTAAACCTTAAGGGAGCTAGTCCCTTGCTGCCCTCTGCTGTCCCCCTTTGTTTGCTGACCTGATCTATTGTCTTTATTTATAACTTCATGCTGAATGCCTTTTATACATTTACTGTTTCCAACCCCAAATGTTGCAACCTGCTTGTTTCCCACACACACCCATACCTCTATCTTCCATCAGTTTAAAATCATAGGCATTTCACCAATGGCCTTCTCAATCGAGTCTGCAAGTGCTACCACCCCAGCCCCAGAGAGATGTACCGCATCCCTTGCATACATATCATGTTTGCCATAAAAGTTGTTCCAGTTGTCAATGAATGGGAAAGCAAGTTCCTTGCAGTATCTGTCTAGCCAGCAATTTACACCAATTGCCCTAGACAACCATTCATTTCCTACTCCCCTTCTAGGCAAGATGCTACATATGATTGGGATCCCTCCTTAGACTTAATGAAATCTATAGCTGACCTGTACTTTTTCAAGCAGCTCTTCTCTCCTACCCTTCCCAATATCATTTCCACCAGCACTGAGACAGATAATGGGCTTGCTCCCATTACCTGACATGATATTATCCAGCCTGTTGACAATGTCCCCAACACCAGCTCCAGGGAAGCACACTCTATCTCTCATCTTCTATTCCTATTACAAAAAGCACGGTCAATTTTATCTTACCTGAGAGTCACCAACCACAAGAATGCGCTTACCTCCATTAGCAGGGGCAGTAGTACCCTTACCTTCACTGGCCACTGAAGTACATTCATCCTGAAGAACAGAGAAGCGATTTCCTACCTTCAGATCTTCACTCTTAACTTTCCTTACTCTGATGCGCCTTCCATTACTGTGAACTACTCGCCACTTGTAGCAGGTGCTGGGCTGCACCTCACTGCTGGTAGCCGTTGCTGCCTCCCCAACTACAGCCTCCTCACAGCGAGAGACAGACTGCACCTCGCTGCTAGAAGCCTCATTCCCCACAACTCCAGCCACCTCACACTCTCTCCCAGACCCATTGAGGTGGACCTTCAGCCTCCTAATCTCCTCCTGGAGAAGCAAGACCTCCTCCTTCAACTCTCCAACCTCAATTTTTAAAACACTGCAGAAGCCAGCCATGCTTTGTAACCGTCCACACTAATCCCCAAGGCAGCTCAGGGTCTGTGACCTCACGTGACGACTGACCACTGAGTACTGTTTGTTTGGTTGAGCGCCGAGCAAACGGTCGACTACCGAGCGATCTTTTTACCAAAGCATTCGAGTACCGAATTGTTCGAGTACAGAGCTGTTCGAGTACCGAGGTTCCACTGTATATCACATTAAATGTGAATCCTGCAAACACCTCTGTGGCTTTTAATGCTCCCTGCTAGCTCAAAGTTCATTTTTAAAAAATTCTTCTGCTTAGCATTAATCAGCATATTATGTAAAAGGACACAAGTGCAACTAATGTGACATTTTATTGTGGCAACGTTTCGCTCTCCAGGAGCTTTGTCAAGCCGTTACGGCTTGACAAAGCTCCAGGGGAGCGAAACGTTGCCACAATAAAATGTCACATTAGTTGCACTTGTGTCCTTTTACTTTACATATTGTCGGTAATTCTACCAACATTATTACAATCAGCATATTAATCCTCTGTATTGTAAAAGCGTTCACTAGATGGTAGTACCACCTAGGTTGGGAAACACTAGTTTAATGGTTGACTCCCTTGTTGGATAATCATACTTAAAAACTTATTGGCGGATGCATGACTCTGGAATGGGGGGGACGCATGTGCCTTATGAGTAAAAACGGTCTGCTCATCACTGAAGATAATCCTACATTTGGGTCCTTCCTGCAGGTTGGTGGGGAGACAGGAGCGTTGACAATCCTTAAGTGATTTGAAATTGGGCTGGAGACCCTCTAACCCACAACCACCGTAGACGAAACAATCACACTGGTCACTCTCTGGGTCGTAGAAGTACCTGCGAAGGGTATAACATGCGTCACTATTAGGAAATTTGCTTATTCGTTGATGAAAAGAACTTTAGCTTGTAAATAATTCAACACTGTATAGCATAGGTTAGTACCAGTACCACCACCACTACTATTATTACTAATTAATAATAATAAATAACAGTAAATGAAAGATACATAGAGATAAGAAGCCTCTATTACAATAAGGCTTCACTCAGATTTTCGTCAAGTTATATAGAGAACACAGCACTTCTTAAAATGACCAACAGCTAGGTGCTGAGAAATGGTGGGTTGGATGGCAGAAGTGTAAATCGGATCCGAATTGCTGCGAGTGTTATACTATTCTATAATATTTGGGACACGCGTTTCTGAGAGGATGAAGGTTCCATGGTTTTGTTTAGTGGTCTCTGAGACCTGGATGATGGCAGCCATGAGGCACTTTTATTCTAAGCTAACGAGGCACTTCCGCCTGTTGGTGTCACTGTCATGCAGGATTAGGTGAACATAAGATATTATAAGGAGTGGCGGTACTCTATATAATCTGAAGTTCTTACTCAGCGAAGATCCACTGTTTAAAATTTTGTTCTGCCTAAGTAACTTTCATTTACTATTTTTTATACAATAATATTAGTATCGCAAAAAATATATTTATGTTAATCCGGATAAATCACTGCCTATAATTCACCATTCGTAAGTAATATTACACAATTCGTGACTAAAAAAAATATTATAATAAAAAAGAAGGGCTAAACCACAAGGGCTGTGACTAAAAAAAAAATCTGGTTTCTTGTGAGATACAACAAGTTTTGATATAAGGAATCTAATAGCAGTTCCAGTTCCTATTACAGAATCCTTCACCAGGTGCAATTATTAATAATTATTATAACCCATATGAATTAGTGTTTTCCAAATAATAAGGGTAATGCCGGATTTATGGTACGGGAGGCAGCCAGTCACTACGCTACGAGTACTGTCGTAGCGTAGTGGTTTAAATCTTTATTCTGGTGAAGATATATATTCATGTATAAATTTTATTAACTCATACATTATACTTTAGTATAATTGATATTTTTCTCACTGCAGTTTCTCTTTACAAATGGAACATTTACTCTTATGTGGTGTTATGTGCCGTTGGGTTGCCTCTCACACAGACTGACTACACTATGTTACAGGCTAAGATTAGCAGACGGTGGATAGAACCTCCACTTCTTACGCTGAAAGACTTACAAGGGATTATGGCTTCATGAAATACATTTATGTTAAAATGATTACCTTGGGAAAGCTCCCCTACATTCTCCAGGCTCTGGTCTCACTAAACACAGATGGTGACGATCTGCATGGCCAGCAGCTGGTTCGCTCCCTGGGGAGCCTCCGAGGAGAGACTGGCTGGAACCTCCAGCTTGATGAGGAAGAGGTTGATGTGTTCCTTGGAATCCTTGCCCAACCCCGGTTTGTTCGCGATCAGGTTGTTGCGTTCCTTGGAATCCTTGCCCAATCCCGGTTTGCTCACGACTGGGTTGAGTTATTCCTGTGATTCCTGGAGCAAGCTCAGTTTGTTGACGGCTAGGAGATAGAGTTCCTACGAATGCTTGACTACTCAAAGGATGTAAACTAGGATTAACCTGTGGTGGGATTACTTGGACACTTTCCATTTGTTCACGACGAGCAGTCTCTAGAGTTCCTGAAAATCCGTTATTTCCAGTCTGTTGCTGACGATTAGGCTGTTGGGTTACCAGACCTAATTGGCTGTTGATGGATGGTTGAAAATTAGACTGTGCAAATGATATTCCTTGACCATTCCCGAACTGTTGAAGACGCTGAGGTTGTGGGGCTGTGAAGGATATTTGACTATTACCAGTTGGAGTAAAATTTGGTTGCCTAATCACTGTGGATACCTGTCCTGACTGCCGATTCTCTTTTTGTCTAATGAGCTGGGGAAGAAAGAAAGGTCTTTGAGCAGAACCTGACACAACCTGGGAATAATCTTGAGGTAGGCGGACAATAAATCTTTTATTGCTAGGGTTGTCATTCTCCCGGGAGTTATCAGAGGGTCGACGTATCTGCCTGAACGGCTGTATAAGCTGCATATCTACGAGCCCCAGCAGCGTCCCCAGGAGGACGCCAATGATCGTCACCGACACTCTCATCTGAAGAAAAAGAATAATCAACATTTTGTTTGTCTTCAACTCCTACTTATTTTTGTTTACGTAGCTAAATTTACAGGCTAAGAGATCTTATCCCACCTAAACTCATTTCAATACCCAAACCAATCTTAGGATTACACTCTTAACAGTAGGCTAACACCTAGGTACCTATTTGTTGTTAGATGAGCAGGGACAGCCAGGGTGTAGTGAATCGCCAATACTCACACTGCACAAACGTAGGGTAACATCCGGCAGTGGGAGAAAACGGAATAAAATACCGACAAAATGACAAACACAAATGATGTATAATGCAATCCTGCATTATACTGCCTCGACTCGACCCCTGCAACCACATATAGGCGAGTACTGCATTCACGTATTTTTTCCGGTTGGGTTAAAAGAAATTCTTAGTATTTAAATCACTTTCACTGGTACGGTGTATTAACGAGCCATTCGAAGTGTCACCGAGGCGTCGGCGCAGTTTCCTCCATAACTACGCCTAAAAATGTAGCACTTGTACGCAGGTCTGGACTGCAATGCTAAGATATATTACCAGAGAGACGAAGTTGGCAGAGACATGCAAAGATGATAGCATAGTGACGAAGATTATGGTTAGACAGGAAGAAGAGGGAGTTAAGAAAGGTTGTGACTTGACCACTTAAGATTAGATTTTTTAGATTTTTGCCACCGAAGTGGCTAGTTTATTGTGCACCCCATATCCATCCTGTGGACGGTAGTACAAGAGCATTTGGATACACAAAAGGCCTAGGAACTAGGTCCCAAAAGGGCCACTTAAGGTGAGCTTCAAGGAAGTGGTTTTTGTCACAGTGACGAATTTGATAGCAAGTGTTTGTATCAATGGTGGAGATGCGAGTGACACTGCCCCAGCTAATAAGGCAGAAAACACTAACAAAATGGTTATTCTTAGCTGTCACACACCATCATTCTTAGCTTCTCCATATAATTTAAATCTGTATTTTGTTAATGATAATTACATTAAATTACTTAGGTTAGATTAGGTAAGGTTCGTCAGGAAACAGGATAATTGTTTCCTGACGCGGGTCTTAGGCAGATGATGACCCGCCGTTGGAGCTTTTGGTCATCTGACCAAGGCCTTCTACTTGCTTCCCCTTTAAAAATTAAGGTTTTAAGTAGATTAAATTAATAGTACTGAGCAAATAAATGAAAATAAATTTATTAGTATAATATGACAATTATATCAGTATAATTAATAAGGTTAATGTAAAAAAAACATTATTGTTATAAAATTTTTCATGTAGAATAAATTTTGGGAACTCACAATTTCAACTTTGAGCTGCTGTTCGTAAATTTGGTCTAAATTTATTAAAATATATTGACTTCATAAAGTGGCAGAAATTATCAGCGTAAAGGATTCTTTAAAGACTAAGACTGAATGTTGAAATATATCTGGTTCATCCTTCAAGTGCCCCGTAGCTCGGTTGTAGCGCACTCAACTCACACTGAGGTCCGGGGGATCGATCCCCGGTACGGGTGTAAACAGAACGTGTTTTTTTTTTTAAGACACCTGCTGTCCCTGTTTACCTAGCAGTAAAATAGGTACCTGGTTGTTAGCCCACTGGTGTGGGTCGCATCCTAGGGACAAAATTGACCTAATTTTAGCGAAATGCTCAGCATAACAAACGGCTTTCTATATATTAGTATGTCATTGATGTCAGCTAGGACTGTATACCTTGTTCATGTACTTGTAGAAATAAAAATTATTCACAGGGAATGCTTTGTTTACCAGTGTTGCAATCCACATACACTGAACAGTTGTTTTAATGAAGATTTTGAAGTAGGAATAGTGTTTAGGGTCAGTATTGTCACGTATAACCTCGTCAAACAGCTCCGGACACCATCAACCCGAGCTTGGCGCTGCTGACACCAACCCATGAGCTTGGCGCTGCTGACACCAACCCATGAGCTTGGCGCTGCTGACACCAACCCATGAGCTTGGCGCTGCTGACACCAACCCATGAGCTTGGCGCTGCTGACACCAACCCATGAGCTTGGCGCTGCTGACACCAACCCATGAGCTTGGCGCTGCTGACACCAACCCATGAGCTTGGCGCTGCTGACACCAACCCATGAGCTTGGCGCTGCTGACACCAACCCATGAGCTTGGCGCTGCTGACACCAACAACCCATGAGCTTGGCACTGCGGACACTAACCCATGAGCTTGGCACTGCTGACACCAACAACCCATGAGCTTGGCACTGCTGACACCAACAACCCATGAGCTTGGCACTGCTGACACCAACAACCCATGAGCTTGGCACTGCAGACACTAACCCATGAGCTTGGCACTGCTCACATCAACAACCCATGAGCTTGGCACTGCTGACACCAACAACCCATGAGCTTGGCACTGCTGATACCAACAACCCATGAGCTTGGCACTGCTGACACTACCCCATGAGCTTAGCGCTGCTGACACCACCACCCATGAGCTTGGCACTGCTGACACCAACACAACCCATGAGCTTGGCACTGCTGACACCAACACAACCCATGAGCTTGGCACTGTTGACACCAACACAACCCATGAGCTTGCCACTTCTGACACTAACAACCCATGAGCTTGGCGCTCCTGACACCATAACCCATGAGCTTGTCACTGCTGACACCAACCCAAGAGCTTGGCACTGCTGACACCAACAACCCATGAGCTTGGTGCTGCTGACACCAACACAACCCATGAGCTTGGCGCTGCTGACACCAACACAACCCATGAGCTTGGAGCTGCTGTCACCAACACAACCCATAAGCTTGGCACTTCTGACACCAACCCATGAGCTAGGCGCTGCTGACACCAACACAACCTATGAGCTTGGCACTGCTGACACCAACACAACCCATGAGCTTGGCACTGCTGACACCAACACAGCCCATGAGCTTGGTACTGCTGACACCAACCCATGAGCTAGGCGCTGCTGACACCAACACAACCCATGAGCTTGGCACTGCTGACACCAACATAACCCATGAGCTTGGCACTGCTGACACCACAATCCATGAGCTTGGCACTGCTGACACCAACAACCCATGAGCTTGGTACTGCTGACACCAACACAACCTATGAGCTTGGCACTGCTGACACAAACATAACCCATGAGCTTGGCACTGCTGACACCAACACAATCCATGAGCTTGGTACTGCTGACACCAACACAACCTATGAGCTTGGCACTGCTGACACCAACACAACCCATGAGCTTGGCGCTGCTGACACCAACACAACCCATGAGATTGGCGCTGTTGACACCAACACAACCCATGTTGCTTGGTGCTGACACCAACATAACCCATGAGCTTAGCACTGCTGATACCAACACAACCCATGAGCTTGGTGCTGCTGACACCAACACAACCCATGAGCTTGGTGCTGCTGACACCAACACAACCTATTAGCTTAGCACTGCTGACACCAACACAACCCATGAGCTTGGTGCTGCTGACACCAACACAACCTATTAGCTTAGCACTGCTGACACCAACACAACCCATGAGCTTGGCACTGCTAACACCAACATCCCATGAGCCTGGCACTGCTGACACCAACAACCCATGAGCTTGGCACTGCTGACAACAATCCATGAGCTTGGCACTGCTGACACTAACAACCCATGAGCTTGGCGCTGCTGACACCAACACAACCCATGAGCTTGGCACTGCTGACACCAACAATCCATGAGCTTGGCACTGCTGACACCAACACAACCCATGAGCTTGGCACTGTTGACACCAACAACCCATGAGCTTGGCACTGCTGACAACAATCCATGAGCTTGGCACTGCTGACACCAACAATCCATGAGCTTGGCACTGCTGATACCAACAACCCATGAGCTTGGCGGTGCTGACACCAACAACCCATGAGCTTGGCGGTGCTGACACCAACACAACCCATGAGCTTGGCACTGCTGACACCAACAACCCATGAGCTTGGCACTGCTGACACCAACACAACCCATGAGCTTGGCACTGCTGACACCAACAACCCATGAGCTTGGCACTGCTGACACCAACACAACCCATGAGCTTGGCACTGTTGACACCAACAACCCATGAGCTTGGCGGTGCTGACACCAACAACCCATGAGCTTGGCGGTGCTGACACCAACACAATCCGTGAGCTTGGCACTGCTGACACCAACAACCCATGAGCTTGGCACTGCTGACACCAACACAACCCATGAGCTTGGCACTGCTGACACCAACAACCCATGAGCTTGGCACTGCTGACACCAACACAACCCATGAGACTTGTGATCCTGTGGTGGTTTTGTGTGTTCGACGTCCTAATAATCAGTTTCCAGAACATCACAGCAGTTACTGTGCACTCCCACTATACGAACCGGGTCTCCCACGGCTTTTGCCTGGAGGATTTCAGAGTTTTTTCTCACAGTTTCGATTTGCTACGTACAATATGTCGGATCTTAGTCTTAATTATCAGTGAAGTCGCTCGTGATTATGAGGAACATTGGTGAACAATAGCTGAGTATTCATGTAAAGCTTTGATGATCACGCTCTTCATGTAAGGTCAACTGGCTTTGATGATCACGCTCTTCATGTAAGGTCAACTGGCTTTGATGATCACGCTCTTCATGTAAGGTCAACTGGCTTTGATGATCACGCTCTCATTTAACTATTCCTTACTAAAGTAGCAGCATTTTCAGTAATGTGTGATGGATCAGTAAATAATAATCGTAGGCCCTGGCCAGTCACTGGATGAGAGAAATGGCCCGGCATGATAATGGCTTTCTTTGTACTTAAACCAAAACTGTAATTACACATGGTAACGACAGCGTCGTTCTTGACTACTGGCTCTCCACATCTCGGAGGCTGCCTCCCCCCCCCCCACCAGCTCACCTTTAACATTACCTACAAAAAAGCTCTTAGTTTTTCTGGCGAAGTTTCAAGGACTCTTAGTTTACGTCAGACATAAACAAGTTCCAAAAGTAGTTTTTGAATTTCTGAT